CCTCACCCGGGCCATATAAGGGCCCGCGACGGCATTCAAGTTTGGCGCTATTTCGCGCGGGGCGCGATAATGCGTCGCGTGGCGCGCGAGGCGCCAGGACCTCGCGCGTGTCGGCCGCTAATTGGCCGGGGGTCCGCGCATCCCCCTGCGCGGCCAACGACCCCGCTATCGACCCTGGATCTCGAGATCCAGGGCTCACTCTGTCGCGGCCGCTCGATTCAAGCAGTCGAAAAGAATTATTCGTGCACTGAAGAGACGAACCGAGGACGAGACCGAGGATCATCCCCGCAGCCGGGAGAAAGCTTCGTCGGTGAGGTTGCTCACGTAATTTTGGTACTCCGCGAGCCGTGATTGTGTCCGCTCGCCGGCCGTTCTATCGCCGTCGCCATTACGGTATTTATCGCGACCGCTCGAGCCTTCTGCCGAGTCGGTCGAATTTTGTGGATTTCAGGCGACCGGGGGATAAGCGACTGAGGAAGCGCGGACACGGGCGACGGAAGTGCATATCGTAGGGTAATTCTCGTCTCTCTCCGGGTATCAGGGTGCGTAATACGCGTAGCATTCGACCGTTGGGTATCGACCGCGTGCGTCGTAAATCGCGAGAAATGCGTAGTTCGCACGGGCTGTCGTTGGGTTGTCGAAGCCGCGTCTCGCACCTCTGAAAAATGTCTCAGAGCGAGTCTGTGGAACGTAGTTGGTCGTGAGTAATGAGTCTTCGTGTAATCTAATTGTCGTTCGTGAATATTGCGCGAACTGCGTATTATTGTCGCGTCCATTGTGTGCGTTGTGAGTTGTTCGTCTCGAAAAAGAGAAACGTAATTCCTCGAAATTGTCGCGGCGTGCGGGTATCGCACGATTCCAAGTATCGATATCGGAGGTCAGGAAACTCCTGGCGAATTTTGCGGCTATCGAAGGAGGCGCGGTGCGGGACTGTCGCCCGCCTTCCTTACTGCCTTGAGACCGAGAAGATAATTAATTCTCACGCTGTCGAAGGTATCGGGGGTGTGACACGACATTGTCGCATCGCCCCGATTGCCAGAAATATTTAAGTGGCGAGCGTCGCAGCAAAAGGCGGAAATATCTTCGGACCGCCACCGGCTATCGAACTTCGCCGGTATCGTCCGCCAATCGTATGCGAGATCTCTCCTCGCGGAACTAATATCTTTTCGCTTATTGCGTAACTAATCGGCCGTCTTATTTCTGGGTTGTCGACTTCGAGTACGCTCGGAGGAAATTGCGAGATACGCAGCTAATTAGTAAGATCTCCGCGAGGCTGTCGAAGCTGCGAAGGATAGGCAGGTATTATCGCACTCTCTCTCTCTCGCGTATGATACGACCGTTATCGAGAATTCGAATTATCAAGGTTCTGTATAGAAATTATTGTTCTCAGGAGCTTCAGGAAGCTTCCGTAATAGACGCTCTTTGGTAGACCGCCTTAGAATATCGCGCGTTTTTCTAGCGTTTCGAGAATTATTGTCAGTTCATGTCTAGTACGTTATTTCTGTTTCCAGTCTGTATCGATTTTTACTTCTTTTGTTAATTACTTTCCTTATTATTTTCTCTCTAAATAAATCTGTTATTTATTTTTATTAAATCTCGCGTTCTTTATTTGGCTGGCGATCAGCTGTGATTTCTGTGTCCGTCTTTGTCTGTCAATTTAGTAAGCTCGCTCAATCAATTCACTTTTTCTTTCAAACCCCGCCCCTCTACCGTTAGGCGAGCTAGCCAGCCCGTGGCGAAGCGGGCTGTCGTATTCTTTCGCGCTTCTCGAAGAATTTATGAAACTGGTACGTGAGAGACCGTACCTGGCGCCCAGTTCTGAGGTAACGAGACGGCCTTCGCTCCGCCGCGGCTCGCGCGCGGACACCCTCCATTCCTGTCCCGCCGATCCCGAGTACACCAAAACCCTTGTGTTTTTGACGGCGCTTCCGCTCCCCCGCGAGAATAAAATTTGAATTGAAAAAGTGTCGCAATATATATGTATATATACAGGGTCTACCAAAAGTGTGGAAACCCCTAAATATCTCGGAAAATATATGTTTTACAGAAAAGTGTTTCCAACAAAAGTTGTAGGGTTTAAGAAGATCTATATACTGATTCTATCAGTTTGACCTTGGATGGCGTCGTCAAGGTCAGGTCAAGGTCACATTGACTTTTTTAAATGACACCCCCTACATTTGATTGCATATTCTTATAGCTTAATTCAAGAGCTTTCCAAAACACTATAATAATGTTCATTTTTATTAAGTACTTTGCGAGTTATGAGGGTTGAATGATAGAGTAGCGCCGGTATTAACATTATCCAAGGTGTACTACATGGAGGTTACTCGCTCGGATTTGCATCTGTTGTGTGTGTGATCCAGCTAACTAAGGCAAGATCGGTCGTGGATCCAGTCAGCAAAAGCAAAGACCCAACCAAATTACAATCGAGCATTTAAAGACCTGGAAAGCAATCGACATAGTAAACAGTAAATAAATTTGTGGATGCTCATTTATCATAATAATTGTTCGAAATGTGTGCGTGTGCGTGCGTGCGGTGCGTGTATACAGAGATCAGGTTAGGTTGCACCAAACGATTGCAAATGTGTTTCAATGTGTTAAAGTAAATGCTGAAAGTGGCTGCCATTTACTTCCTGACAATATGCTAATCTTTGGTAGAATGTAGAAATGACTTTACGATTCGTTTCAAAAGGTATCAAAGCCATTTCATCCCTTATTCGCTGTATCAATTCGTGAATGGTTTTAGGTTTTGTTCTGTAAACCTTACTCTTCAGATATCCCCATAGATAATAATCAAGAGGAGTTAGATCTGGTGACCGAGGTGGCCAATCCTCTCCTCCCTCATTTCCGTTCCTTCTTCCTATCCACCGTAGCGGAAAAGTCTCATTTAAAATACGACGTGGTCCTGCACCAAAATGAGCAGGAGCTCCATCATGCTGAAACCATATTTCTTGGAAATTATTTGGAAAAGTATTCTGTATGGCTGGAATTATTTGATCAACAAGTAATCTCTCATACCTTTGAGCGTTCAAATATTCTTCAAAAAAAAACGGCCCTATTAAATAGCCATCTATTATTCCGCACCATACATTTATTTTTTGTGGATGTTGTGTGTGAGTTTCCCGCACCCAATTCGGATTCTCATCTGACCAGAAACGAAAATTTTGATTATTAACTTCTCCCGTTAAGGTAAAAGTTGCCTCGTCTGTGAAAACAATTTGATAAGGGAAGATGGGCCGGACATCTATTAGTGCCATCATTCTTTCACAGAAATGTATACGACGCTCCTCATCTCCGTTTTGCAATTCTTGAACGTATTGCAATTTATATGGATGGAACTTGTTCTTCTTTAAAATTCTCCAAACCGACATGGGAGCAATATCGTGAGTTTGAGCGACTCTCTGAACACTAGAATTGGGATCTTCAATAAATGTCTGCAGAACATCAAGTTGTTTTTCTTCGTTGGTTGCAGACAATGGTCTTCCTGACTTAGAGCGATTTCTTACGCTACCAGTTTGTCTAAAACGTTCTATTGTTTTTAACACAGTGGACTTATTAATTCGACGGTTCGGATACGTGTCATTAAATAATCGAACGACATCAGAGAACGATCTTTCGTTATCACCCCATCCACGCATCATGAGGATAGTGATTCTTTCACGTTCCGACAAGTCGCCAGCCATTTTTAAAACGTTTAATTTTAATTAATCGTACGTTGTATTTGGACGATAACAATTAATTTCTGCTTGCTCAAAGCTGAAGTTAGAAGGTGCTCGTTCTTTGATAGCTTTATACATTCTTAGTTGAATTTTAAATGCGAGTTAGACTGCATGTAGTGCGTCACATAGCGGTAAATGAAGGAACTAACGAGACGTTTCATACACGTTTTATGGAGCAATTTTTTGGCAATTTGACTTCAGCGAAATATGAGGATATGTTGAGGAATCGATCTTGCCTTAGTTAGCTGGATCACACACACAACAGATGCAAATCCGAGCGAGTAACCTCCATGTAGTACACCTTGGATAATGTTAATACCGGCGCTACTCTATCATTCAACCCTCATAACTCGCAAAGTACTTAATAAAAATGAACATTATTATAGTGTTTTGGAAAGCTCTTGAATTAAGCTATAAGAATATGCAATCAAATGTAGGGGGTGTCATTTAAAAAAGTCAATGTGACCTTGACCTGACCTTGACGACGCCATCCAAGGTCAAACTGATAGAATCAGTATATAGATCTTCTTAAACCCTACAACTTTTGTTGGAAACACTTTTCTGTAAAACGTATATTTTCCGAGATATTTAGGGGTTTCCACACTTTTGGTAGACCCTGTATATATATATATATATATATATATATATATATATATATACAGTGTGTCCCAAAAGTTCGGCAACGGTCAAATATATCGTAAAATATGACTTTTCTTCAAAAATGTTTTATACAAAAGTTGTAGGGTATTAAGTGACGCATTAAATAGTAGTATTAGTATAATCCTAGATGGCGCCACTGCGGTCAGGTGAAAGTCATCTTAAATTTTTCAAATGGAGCACCCTACTTTTTATTTCACATTCTTGTAGCTGACGTTGAGACGTTTCCAAAACACTGGTTACAAACCTTTCTTCCACAAAAACTTTCCGAATTATAGGATTCAATATTTACAGTATCGCAAGCATTGGTATTACCCAAGGTGTACCACGTGGAGGTTGCCCAGTCGGATTTACACCTCTTGTGTGTACAACGTGTGTGTGTTAGTGTGTGTGTGTGTGTGTGTGTGTGTCAGTGTGCGTGTGTCGTATGTGTTAGCGTGTGCTGTGCGTGTCAGTGTGCGTGTGTGTTTGTGTGTGTGTGTGTGTGTGTGTGTGTGTGTGTGTGCTGAGAGAAGTGCGTGCGTGCGTGCGTACATGCGCGAGTGTCAACAGAAATAGGGACCCTACGGTTCGTCATTTCCGTAGTATTTAGAGACTCCAAACCCTCTCTGTATTAATGTTGGTTTAATTTAGAAGATGTTCAAATTGACGGCCATGAACGGTTTGACAATATGCCAAACGTTCATAAAAATTGCGCCGAACATTTTGCAAGTTTTCCGGGGTTATTGATGCTACAGTATCTAAAATGCGATTTCTTAATTCATTTAAATTCGTAGGTTTTGTTGCAAACACCAAATTTTTTAAATGACCCCAGAAAAAATAATCCAATGAATTCAAATCAGGAGATCTAGGTGGCCATTCAATTGTACCTCTTCTGCCAATCCATTTTCTTGGAAATGTATCATTTAGGAATCGACGGACGTTTATGCCAAAGTGAGGTGATGCACCATTCTGTTGGAAACAAACGTTATTAAAAGCGACACCAACTACATTTTGAATAGCAGGCAGTACCTGATTTTGTAAGAGATGCAAATAACGCTCCGCATTGATGTTCTCATTCAAGAAAAATGGTCCTATAATTGTATTTCCGAGTATTCCTGCCCATTTAACCATTTGAGGATAATGAGTATGAGAATCTCTCATCCAGTGTGGATTTTCGTCACTCCAATATCTGCAATTGTGTCGATTGACAGATCCATGCAATTCGAATGTCGCTTCATCGGAAAATACAATCCAGTCAAAAAAGTTATTGTCTCCATCAAATCGCCTCATCATTTCTTCGCAAAATTCTATCCTCCTATTATAATCATTGTCTGACAGTTCTTGAACTAAACGTATTTTAAAAGGATGATAATTGTATTTTTTTAAAGTTCTCTGAATCGTGCTTTTACTAATATCACATTACTGACTTGTTTTTCGGATTGACGTATGAGGATTTTCTACAAATGATTGTAGAACTTCGATGTTCTTATCATCATTGCTTGCAGTTTTCGGTCTTCCTGCTCGAGGCCGGTTTTTAACTGAACCTGTTTGTTCAAATCGAGCCACATTTCGCTGAACAGTAGACTTTGTAATTGGCAAACGATTAGAAAATGTATTGTTAAATAAAGCAGCCACTGCTTCATAAGATCTAACATTGTCTCCGTATCCTCGCATTGTAAATAATGTTATACTTTCTCTCTCAAATAAATGCATTTTTAATTTCCAACACCATAAAAACGTATCAAGATTACATTACAATACATTAAGCATAACATTAAACATAACATAACATAACAAAGCAGCTGTTGCATCTTGTAGATGAAGCTAACATAAGAGAAGCGAGTACGAGCCTTGTCCAGATCTTGCTCTTACAACGTGCACGTGGAAGAACGTGTATTGCATACCCACCCACCAAACTACTCATTCGCTGTAATCTTGATACGTTTTTATGGTGTTGGAAATTAAAAATGCATTTATCTGAGAGAGAAAGAATAACATTACTTACAATGCGAGGATACGGAGACAATGTTAGATCTTATGAAGCAGTGGCTGCTTTATTTAACAATACATTTCCTAATCGTTTGCCAATTACAAAGTCTACTGTTCAGCGAACTGTGACTCGATTTGAACAAACAGGTTCAGTTAAAGACCGGCCTCGAGCAGGAAGACCGAAAACTGCAAGCAATGATGATAAGAACATCGAAGTTCTACAATCATTTGTAGAAAATCCTCATACGTCAATCCGAAAAACAAGTCAGCAATGTGATATTAGTAAAAGCACGATTCAGAGAACTTTAAAAAAATACAATTATCATCCTTTTAAAATACGTTTAGTTCAAGAACTGTCAGAAAATGATTATAATAGGAGGATAGAATTTTGCGAAGAAATGATGAGGCAATTTGATGGAGACAATAACTTTTTTGACTGGATTGTATTTTCCGATGAAGCGACATTCGAATTGCATGGATCTGTCAATCGACACAATTGCAGATATTGGAGTGACGAAAATCCACACTGGATGAGAGATTCTCATACTCATTATCCTCAAAAGTTAAATGTATGGGTGGGAATACTCGGAAATACAATTATAAGACCATTTTTCTTGAATGAGAACATCAATGCGGAGCGTTATTTGCATCTCTTACAAAATCAGGTACTGCCTGCTATTCAAAATGTAGTTGGTGTCGCTTTTAATAACGTTTGGTTCCAACAGGATGGTGCATCACCTTACTTTGGCATAAACGTCCGTTGATTCCTAAATGATACATTTCCAAGAAAATGGATTGGCAGAAGAGGTACAATTGAATGGCCACCTAGATCTCCTGATTTGAATCCATTGGATTATTTTTTCTCGGGTCATTTAAAAAATTTGGTGTTTGCAACAAAACTTACGAATTTAAATGAATTAAGAAATCGCATTTTAGATACTGTAGCATCAATAACCCCGGAAAACTTGCAAAATGTTCGGCGCAATTTTTATGAACCTTTGGCATATTATTAAACCGTTCATGGCCGTCAATTTGAACATCTTCTAAATTAAACCAACATTAATACAGAGAGGGTTTGGAGTCTCTAAATACTACGGAAGTGACGAACCGTAGGGTCCCTATTTCTGTTCACACTCGCGCACGTACGCACGCACGCATGCACGCACCACGCACGTACTTCTCTCACCACACACACATACAAACACACACGCACACTGACACGCACAGCACACGCTAACACATACGACACACGCACACTGACACACACACACACACACACACACACACACTAACACACACGCGTTGTACACACAAGAGGTGTAAATCCGACTGGGCAACCTCCACGTGGTACACCTGGGGTAATACCAATGCCAGCGATACTGTAAATATTGAATCCTATAATTCGGAAAGTTTTTGTGGAAGAAAGGTTTGTAACCAGTGTTTTGGAAACATCTCAACGTCAGCTACAAGAATGTGAAATAAAAAGTAGGGTGCTCCATTTGAAAAATTTAAGATGACTTTTACCTGACCGCTGTGGCGCCATCTAGGATTATACTAATACTACTATTTAATGCGTCACTTAATACCCTACAACTTTTGTATAAAACATTTTTGAAGAAAAGTTATATTTTACGATATATTTGACCGTTGCCGAACTTTTGGGACACACTGTATATATATATATATATATATATATGTGTATATATATATATATTACGCACAAATATCGGTTTTAAAAATTTAAAATGTGTAAATATTCATTTTCTATAAAACAGATATTTGCAAATAGATTAATATGTGCTATATAGAATGTGATAAAATTAAAAATATAAGTCAATTTGTATAAAACATTTTATGAAGTTTTTAATATCCTCACAAATATTTTACAATGGAAGAAAATTAATATAGAGCAAATAATTGTAATTATATTCCATAACTTTCTAAAATTAAGTATAAATTATATCATTTATACTATAATTTATACTATAAATTTCACAATATTAATATTACAAGAAAATAGCAATTCGAAAAGTTCAAAATTTTAAAAATTAATTATTAAATGTAATTATTAAATTTAAAAACATAAGCGTCTTTTAAAATTAAATTTTTGACTTTGTTGGCGAAGAAGAAACTGTGTCATAAAGTTTATTTTTTTCAATACTCTACATCTAATTTTTAAAGAATTATTTCACTATTGATATATGAAATCACGATTATGATTTGTATTATGCATTGGCTCAATAGACAATTTCTTGATTTTGTGTTTACCTTGATTTGAGGATGAAATTCAAAGGATGCAGCAATATTTAACATAAATTTAAAAGCTTTGATCATAGGATACCATGCTATATAATCTTTTACTTTTCGCAAATAAATAGCAAGTTCCCAAAATACGGAGAATTCAAGTTTCTTCTTAGTAGTAGGAGTAAGGGGGTTCTAACCCTCTCAGGGCGGGTGAGGCGCAAGAGGAACCGAGGCGCGCGGCGGGTGACGTCAGCCGCGGGGAAAGGGGATCCGCGGCGCGATCGATGGACGAGGGGTCCGCGAGGTGAAGGGGGATCCGCGGCGCGACCAATGGACGAGGGGGTCCGCGAGGTGAAGGGGGATCCGCGACGCGACCGATGGACGAGGGAGTCCGCCAGGTGAAGGGAGATCCGCAACGCGAGCGATGGACGAGAGGGTACGCGTAGTGAACGGGGATCCGCGGCGCGAGCGATGGGCGAAGGGGTACGCGCAGTGAACGGGGATCCGCGGCGCGAGCGATGGGCGAGGGGATCCGCGAGGTGAAGGGGAATCCGCGGCGCGAGCGATGGGCGAGGGGGTCCGCGAGGTGAAGGGGGATCCGCGGCGCGAGCGATTGACGAGGGGATCCGCGCAGTGAAGGGGGATCCGTGGCGCGACCGATGAACGGTGGTGTGAGAAGGACAGCGCTACGTATGGGAAAAGGACAGTGCAAAGTGTGTGAAGAAGACAGTGCTACGAGTGCGACAAGGATGGCGTTAACGTGGGACAAGGACGATATATAGGTGGGAGAAGGACGACGCAAAGGTAAGTGAACAACGAGTATATATATTCTAAGCGAAAGAGAGAGAACGATAATATCAAAAATAACAACGCGTGCGAGAGAGAACGATAATACCGCGAGACTTGCAATTAGCGCGTGCGAGAGGGAACGATAATACCGCGAAGACAACACGTGCGAGAGAGAACGATAATAGCGCGAAGACTTACAACTAGCGCGTGCGAGAGAGAACGATAGCGCGAAAACGACATGTACAAGAGAGAACGATAATATCGCGAGACTTACAACTAACGAGTATGATAGAGATTACTAATTCTAAGCGCGAGAGAAAGAGATAGACTTACAACTAGCGCGAGACTTATGATTAACGCGTGCGAGAGAGAACTTAAAACTAGCGTAAGAGAGACGCAGGGATGGGAACGCATGAAGAGGCGTGTAAATAATTAGATTTTTTTAAAAATTAAAATATAAAATATATAAAATTTATTAAAAATGTATATGTGTGTTAATACAATTGTGTGTGAGTGTGTGTGTGTATGTACTGTGACGTTGCCGTCACGACGGACGTCCACCCGCCAAAAAGACTGCGTGACGCGAGTCGAGCGGCCGCGCCGGTCGAGAAATCGAGAGCTCCGCCGGGATTTTCAGAGAGGGGAGCGCGTTCGTTTATAAACAAAAGCATTGTTACTAATCCTATTTGTCGAAATTATATTGTTTCGGAGGCCTTAAATCTTCAACGAAGATTTACCTGGAAGTCTACAAGAAAAGCAGCCTTGCCGAATCATCACCGATCAAAACATCGGCCGGGAAAAACAAGGGTCGGCGATACTCGAGCAGCCTCGCACAATTTCGGTCCATTGACCCAGCATCCCAGGGCCGGCCAGCAATGACGGGCGCCGAAAGCACCCCGCGAAGGGGCTAAACCTTCTCGGAAAAATCCGGAAAAGTCGCTGCCCTCCGCTGGAGAGGGACGAAGGCAGCAAAGATCGGCCCTGACGGGAGAATTCCCGAGCACCTGGCGCTGAAAAACGCAAAGGAACAGCGGACCGTTGGAGGCGCGGGACCGCGGGCGCACGATGCGCCCTTGCGCCACGGTCGAAAATCCGAGCGCGCGGGAACGGGCCTATCACCCGTCTCGATGGGGTGCGGGGCGAATAGTTAAGGATAAATACGGCGATTCCGAGAGAATGAGAGACTTGTTCTACGATAATTTCGGCGACAGTTAGAGAGAGTATCGCGGACGTTCGGCACAAAAGAAGACGAATTGGCGGAACCCAGA